TCTGTAGAAGTGTATATATCTGTTCTTCACCTCACATGGTACTCCCTTTTCTGTGTAAATTTTTTGCAGTTTCAATTTCCAACCCTTAAGTCTCTCTTATTCCCCTTTTATCTTCCCTTGGGAGGGTTGGGGGGGGCAGTAATAGTAATTCTGCCCCCTGGTTTGCAGTTTGCCCTTGACCACTAAACCAGGATGGTTTTACATCCCATAATCCTTTTTTTCTTGAGGTTTTTCTCTTATATGATGCCCTTAAACTGAATTACCATTTTTCTATTTTCAAGTTAATGAAACAGCACATCATACATCATTCCAAGTACCAGGCTCTGTAGGATCCTCCTTATGCAGCCTGGAAATGCATGCTTGGCTACCCTGCTGCTTTCTAGATGGATTTTCCCACATGTCTCTGAGAACACTTAACAACTGATGAGTAATATCAGGCTTTGTAATAATGTGAGTAGTCCAATTTGGAGTCGTACTTTTCTCTACACAATGATGTTGGATCAGAACCCCTGCAAGCCAACACTGTTACAAATTGGCAGTAACTAGTCTGAAATCAGTGAAACAGATCCAGATCAAAGGAAGAGGACAAGCAGACATAGTGTATTTTCAAAAGCCAACTTCTGCATATGTATTCATTCTAGAACAAAGCATCTTTCAGAGGTTGGATGGAAAGTAGTTGCAATGCAGAGTATTATTCCCAAATCTAATTTCCCTGTAATTGTTGTTCCTTACAGCACAGCCCTACTGGTTTTTTATACTATAAATTATCTTTCGTTAATTCAGTTATCTTGCCTGTTCTTACATCTAAGCGATCTTATCTACACCTAAGCAATCTTACTTAAATGTACCTGAATCTTGTTCATTTTAATACATTACTTCCTGCATTCAGTCAACTTTCTGATTGTATCATCTCACAGATAGGTCCATATCAAATAAGCCTTCTCAGAGAGGTCGCTTGTAGAAACACTAGTACATTCCCTCAATAACTGATCCATCTTGCAAAGTTCTGCCATAAGTAGCTGTTGAACAACGCTGAACTAAGGGAAGAACAATAAATTATTTACTCTAAATTCCTCTGTGAAAAGAGCCAGGAGTAAACAGGTTTAACATACTTTATCTCTCAAGATGCTTTGCTGGGATAAGTTCTTATCAAGTTCACAGGTCCTGTGGCTGAGGCAAGTTTTGAAGCAATGTCTTTGATATAACGCTGGAAACAAAGTGCTTTGACCACTCAGCCTAGGCATTATAGACCTGAAACAAAAGAAATTCCTAGAGAGGAAGCATATTTCCACAGTAAGACTTCTAGTATTCCGGTATTGCTTTCCACACCAGTGCCACATACGAATTTTCATGCAAGGCTGAGTGAAAATACGTTGCAAGAAGGTAAGTAAACACACATTTTCTAATTTGAGCAATCCAGCTCATTTTCTCAGGACTGGGTTTTCCATTGAATATGCAGCAGTAGAAAATGACCAAATTATTATTGTTTTCAGATTCAGTATCTTTGAAATACAAGATATGTGTGATAGGCCAGAATTACTTATTGTGTAGTTTTAGTAATTTCAGAAAAACAGCGCTTCCCTATCTCTACATTGCTGTACATCTTTCTTTTTTCTTTTTCTTTTTTTTTCCCCATTTATATTCTTCTTAGTCAAACAGTGGAGAAAGGTTCATCCACTCTTATTTGCTCAGCTTACAAAAAAACTATTCTCCATTACAGTGGTATTGGAAAGTTTGTTGTAAAGAGGAAACAGAAAGAACATTTAACTGTTCAGTAGTCATCTAAATGCATCAATACTGCTCTAATTTCAGTTCTTCAGGGCTATTCCTTTTGTTATGGCCATCAGGGTGAAGTAATAGACAAATAAACACATTTAGCTCAACAAGGGAAAAGAAATATATAAAACAAACCTCGTGCCCAGCCTATAGGATGCATGTTTTTAAGATAGTGTGGAGAAATTCAACTTTCCATTAAAAATCCAGATTTTCACCACTGTGTTGTTCCATGTAAATCAATAAAAACTCCACTTATATATACCAACCACAGAGAAACTGGTATCAGGCTGAAGAACTGTAGCAACAAAATACTGGCTTCTGTAGCATTACAAGGGCTTACATAGAGCTGATGCTGTTGTGATGATGCTGGTTTTATCAATACAGCTATTGAACACTGAAAAAAAATAAAACTACACACTTGACAAGCTTGGGACACAGTTTTACTGAAAAGGCTTCTGCAGAAGTGATAGAACAGGATCAGTACTTTAGGATTCATAGCCCAGTTAAGACAGCATAGTTTAATACATTTGTATAATGAACACTTATAATCTATCTGCCTAAGAAAAAGTTATTTTGGGTAAATTTCTTAAAGCTTGAAGATGTACTGTGTTAAAAAGAGAGGGATTTTTTTTTAAAATCACATTAACCAATTAACTGCATCATTGAAAACTATAAAAACTTCAAACTTTTATGACTCTCTAACTGAAAAAAAAATAAACCACACTGCCTTGAGTAAAAAGAAGAGAGCCAAAAAAGGAAGTCATTACAGGCTGGGAATTTATAATCCAAGTTTTATTTGGATGGTTTTATTGTAAACTCCTCAGATTCATTATGTTCACGCAGCCAAGAATTACTCTAATATAGTAGATGAGAATTGCTCTAATCTATTATCGTTGGCTGCCAACAGTAATTCTATTAATTCAAAGAGCTAATGACATTTACTAGCATTGCCATGCTGTTTTATTGCATCTTTGAAAATAGATGGGAATACTTAGTGGTGTGTCATTCTAAACAGACTAAATTTAGAGCCTTGTTCT